TCATGAAGCCTAAAAATCAAGTACTCAGTCTATTAGCTAGTTCTTCTCAATAAATAGAACTTCTGCCGATATTCAGCAAATGCATGTTACAATGAGGAATTCTAATTAAGACCAGTATATCATTCTGTATATCATTATGATTGTGTTCTCTTTCACTGCCTTAGGAAACTCACATTTTTGTTCTAGGATAGTGCAAACTCTGTCTCAGTTGGATTAGAATTTTATGTATTTCACTATTTAATATGCCCTACTTGTTTACCTAGTTTCAGGCAAGACTTTCATGTTGCAAAATCCAAGGTCATTTTTCAGTTTTTACCTTGTGGGGTCAAGTAGCATTTGATACTTTACTATGGGATTCTTGTATCTTCTTCCTTTGGTTTCTGTCTCATTTCCCTTTACTGTGACTGCTTTTCAGTCTTCTTGGCAAGTTCGTTCTCATTTGACCACACAATCTTGGAGTTTTTTAAACACTGCTTTTGTAATAGCACATGGGAATATTGAAGTGTTATTGCCGTCTTCTTCTCCCCCTCTTCCTCCTTTTTCCGTCTCAGATCTCCAGATATAGCCCATGCTAACTTGAACTTGCCATGCAGCCCATGTTGGCTTTGGATTTCCCTCCCTCCCTTCCTCCCTCCCTCCCTCTTTCCCTCCTTTCTTTCTCCCTTTGTTTATTGTTGTTTTTTTTGTTTTGTTTTGTTTGAGACAAGGTATCATATTACTGTGTACAGCCCTGACTGGCCTGCAACTCACTATGTAGACTTGGTTGGCCTTATACTCACAGAGATCTTCCTGCTTTTGCCTCCCAAGTGCTGGGATCAAAGGCATTTGTCACCACCACACCTGGCCTTGGCCTTGTATTTATGATCCCACTGCCTCCACCTCTGAGGATTTATCACTGAAACTTTTGGTTTAAGTGATAAAATTCTAATTGTTTCATGTTGTCTCTGAGAATGATTCGTAGCATGGGAAAAATGACATGTAGATGTACTGCAGAAGAAATTAAGGAAATATGTTGTAGTCCCAATTTGAATTAGAAACATCAGTATAAACTCAGGATATATTTCATGTTAAAACATTTTTCTTTTTACACTTAAATGTCCTATAAGCAAGGGTGAACTGTCAATAAATGTTCAAACTGTAGTTTGGAAAAATAGTTCTTATTCAAAGAACTGTAGCTCCTGGGATAAATGATTGATTCTAGGTTGGAGGAGAAAATATATAAGAGGAACCCAGAACATTTTTGTCATAAGAGAAAGCAAGAAAATAGTATCAAGTTTACTATAAATTTAATGCAAGCTTAAATTGTTTTTTCTTGCTAAAGATGGTAGTGTTTGAGCATCTGTAAAGGATAATTACATCAAAATGTATTGTATAAAATGTACAAAAATGCAATAAAAATGTAAAAAGGATAACAAGAATGTGCTGAAGTACATCAAATATATTTCATCTCTAAGTCTGTAGATGATGCCTTTACAAAAAGACTTAAGTTCCTTTTTTAAATTAAGGAACTTTTTTTCTTAAATATTTTATTATTTTTATGTGTATGTGTGTATTGTTTGCATGTAGGTAAGTGCACCCATGTCGTACAATGCCCGTGAAGGACAGAAGAGGCTGTCGGATCCCCTGGAACTGGAGTTACAGACAGTTGTTAGCTGCCATGTGGGTGCTGGGATTCGAACCTGGGTCTTCTGCAAGAACAGCCAGTGTTCTTAACCGCTGAGCCATCTCTCCAGCCCAATTGTTCCTTTTTAGAGGGTTATGAAATAACAGTTTATTTTTAAAACAGTAAAAGAATAGAAAGAATCAAGCTTTCATTCTTGTCTCATGACTGTGAAACCAAATAGCACAGTAAGGAAGTGCCCTTCATAGAGGAGTCCAACTATTAAATAAGGAAGGAATGATAGAAATTACCTTTTTACAAACCTTAGTAAATTAATGGATTTTTTAGGCACTGATTATATTTATCCACAAATGGATGAAAACTTTTTTTCCCTGATAGAACATAATACCCATTATGAAATGATCCTACTGAAAAAATTTAAAACTAAATATAATCCAGGTTTAGGTCCCACTCTCAAAGCACAGAACATATTAAATGACATGATAGGGATGCAGTTAATAAAATCTAAGCCCTAGAAAACCCAAAATCAACCTGTTTTCTTTAATCAATCAAACTGTAAGAAAAGATAGGGAGCTCTTACAGATAAAAAGAGATCATAGCTGGGCATGCATGTATGGCCAGTACTTTGCAGGCAGGAATATTAGAACCCTTTTTGCTAGATAAAGAGTTTGAAGCCAGCCTGGACTAAATGAGACCCTTAAAAAAATTCATAGCTAAATAAATGTCCATCTCTTCTGGCTTCTGCATACCTTTCTCATTATTTAAAATGGTCTATTTACAAACATTTCTGTCCCTAAAGTATATGTTCCTTATGGACAGGGAATGGCTTTTAAATCTTACTTTATTTTTTAAATTTATTGCTCATTTTATTTATTTTTATTTTGTGTGTATGAGTGTTATGCCTACATGTATGTAAGCGTACCTGTGAATGCAGTGCCTGTAGAGGACAGAAAAGGGTGTTGGATCCCCTGGAATTGGAGATAGGGAAGGTTGTTAGTTGCCATGGGGGCACTGGGAATTGAACAGGAGTCCTCAGCAAGAGTAGCCAGCATTCTTCATCGTTGAACCATCTCTTCAGCCTCTTATTCCTTGTTTTTATTGTATGTATGTGGGTATATGCCTGCAGAGATCAGAGGACAACTTTGTGGTGGCAGTTCTCATCTACCTTTACTTGGGTTCTGGGGATTGAACTTAGGTCATCAGATTTGGCCAGCAAGCACTTTACTGCTGAGCCCTCTTTCCAGTCCACATCTTACTTTGTTTCCCTGTTGCCCAACAGTCTGTGCGACATTTTGGTGAACCTGTATTTCCTATACAAGCATGTTTGATAGCTTAAGTAGCTAGCCATAGTCATCTTTGATCTCTCTCTCTCTTTTTTTTTAAATTGGCAAGCTGACCAATCATAGTGTTTCCTTAATTACCTTTTGTGTCTTTGAATATTTCTTTAGTATTTCCTAAATGTATGCTTTTGATCAAAGATATTTTTATCTTCTATTATGGAAAGTATTTTATTGCTTTTAACTATAAAAAATTTTAAATGTTATATGTAAAAATTAATTAACCAATCCAGCATAGATTGAAATTGAATTTATCAGAAATGTTTGGGACCAGCTTTGTTTCAAATTTTGAATTTTTAAATATTTACATATGTATACCAAAATGTCATGGGGAGTGAAACCCAAGTCTAAAGATGAATTTCATTTGTTTCATATATACCTTAAATATATAGTGTGAAGGAATTTTATATAATACTTTAAATAATTTTGTGCATTAAAGAAGGTTTAAATACATTGAACAGTCAGACTTGTGGTATGATGCTAGTACTCAGAAAGTTTTATTTAAAAAAAAATAAATTAAAAATTAAAAGTTCTCAGAGTGAATAAAATTTCTGTAAAGAACACTTCATGTTCGGAAAAATTTTAGACTTTTATTGTATTAGAGATACTTAACCAACTTTTGAGCATTATGCGTCTTTATAATTATTTGTAATTATTCTTGATTATACAAAATACTGTACTGCCAGACATGGTGGCACATGCCTTTAATCCCAGGATTCGGGAGGCAGAGGCAGGCGGATTTCTGTGAGCTCCAGACCAGCCTGGTTTATGTAGTGAGTTCTAGAACAGCTGGGGCTACAGGGAGACCCTGTCTCGGAAAGACAAAAAAATAAAATAAAAATTGTACTGAATTACTTTCAGTATAGTTCCGTCCTCAGGCTAGAAGTAGGTTTATTGAATCAAAGGTATGTTCATTTAAAATTACATATTTTTGTACTGTTCTCTAGAAAATTTTAGACCTGTTTTCAATGCTCTAACAGTTGGTTTTCGGGGTTTTATTATTGTTAAAATCTTGTTTATTAATCCTAAACACCAGTCTTCAGATAAAGTAATTATCATTTTTTAACCCTTTCTTCAGGTGTCTTATATTGAATTAGTTCTCTTCATGTTGACAACAGGGGCTGTTAAAACTATTAAAATTCATTGTAAGATGCATAATCATGAACTGGAAAGAAGTCTAATACATGCAGGATACATTATAATTCACATAGTAACTACCTCACTTTGTTGTATGTACTTTATTGTTAATAATACAGATCTATATTTGTATGTGTATATGTATGTACATGTTCATGCGTGCACATGTATGTGCTTTGCATGTAGAAGCCAGCGATCAACTCCAGGTTTCTTCCTCTTTCTCTACCCTTCTTTGTTTTTTTGTTTTTTGGGTTTTTTTTTTTTTTTTTTTTTTGTCTTTTTGAGACAGGGTCTCTGTGTAGCCCCAGCTGGTCTGGAATTTGCTATGTAGTCTAGCCTTGAATTCACAGAGATCTGCCTCCCTCTGCCCCCTTCCTCCCACCCAAATGAGTGCTGGGATTAAAGGCATGCACCACTACACCCAGCCTATTCCACCTTATTTTTTGAGACAAGGTCTCACACTGAGCCTACAACTCAATTAATTTGGTTAAACTGCTTGTCCAGCAAGCCCCAGGGATCCTCTTTGCTGATAATTACAGGTGTGTGCTCAGCGTTTATGTGGGTTCTAGGACTTGAACTGAGGTCCTCATGCTTTAATGACTGAACTATCTTTTCCATTTGTGCAGTACATTTTTTAATAATAATGTGGCATACTGTACCTTCTAAGTTCTTGATCAAATTTATCCAGAGTCCATTTTATTTGTATCTCAATTCATTTGTAAAATCAGGACATATGATTCCTGTGTATTTGAATATTTGTTCCAGGGATCAAGTACATGAAAATACTCAACACAAATTGGCAAATATTAGTAATTTAATATGTGTTTATCTATTTCTTTGGTGAAAGATTTATAGTTTTTTTTAGATATTGTATTAACTACAATTTTTTTCTTTTGGTTTCACAGGAATCTGCTCTACATATACCCTCAAAGTCTTAATTTTGCCAATCGTCAAGGTTCTGCCAGAAATATTACAGTGAAAGTTCAATTTATGTATGGAGAAGATCAGAGTAATGCCATGCCGGTAAGAAATATTCTTCACTTTTTCTCTTCTCCATATGTGATTGAAATAGATAAAGTTTTTGGTTTGTCTTGTGTCACTCGATTGGCAGCTCCAAACTAGAATTTAACATGATCTTTTAAACCAAATTTCTAACTACATCACTGCCTGAATAGTTAGAAATGCATTTTAATCTAACTTATTTATTGAGGACTTGGTATATACTTAGTCCTTCCAGAGATACAAAGATGAATAAGTTGTGTAATCTAGAGAATATAATGTAACAATAGACTATAAGTCCATCTAGGGAAGTACAGGTCTCCCAAAGTACAGGTCCTTTTCTTTAGTTTTGGCTTCTTTGATTCCGATTTTCTGTAGCCCTCTCTAGGAAGAATGGCCAGGTAAGGGAACTAGGGGGTGGTGTTGTCATTTGAAAGCACCCCCTTGAGACTTCAATGTGTATGGCTCTTACCATCTTTGTTGAGAAACTAGCCATCTTGTACGTTAGATTCTCTCAGGGAGTTGTTAACAGTCGCAGTTTCCAGGCTGAATCTCGTTAGAGTTAAATTATCTTCTCTGAGACTCTAATCCAGGTAGCAGTTTAAAAAATTCTCATCAAAGCAAGGTATGGTGGTGCACAGCTTTAGTCCCAGCACTTGAGAGGCAGTGGCAGTCAGATCTCTGTGAATTCAAGGCCAGCCTGGTCTATGTAGTGAGTTCCAGGCCAGCTGGGGCTACAGGAGACCCTGTCTCAAAAAGAAAAAAAAAAAATTCTCATCAAGGTGTTAAATTTTGCACCCCAAGTTGAGAACTGTGATATGTGGTATTGCAAGATCAATATAGAGAGGTCAAAAGAATAGCTGTTGAGAGGTGGGAGAGAATACCTTACTGAGGTAACAAGTAAGCATCATGTGGAAGAAGTCCTTCTGTTCTAAAATGAAATGTTAATGATGGTGAGTCTTCAGGGTGAAGGAAGTCCTTGAACAGTAATGAGTACAGTAGTGAACTGCCATTCAACCAGAGCAATGGAAGATATGTTAGAAGTAGAAGTAGATGGCGGCCAGCCTTCAGTGATTCTTGACTGCCAAGATTGTCATTTAGGATTTATGAGATGCTAATGGATGCAAATTCTGTGACAGATTTTTAGCTCAGTTGAAATTGGAGACATGGGATAGGCGTGTGCTATGGCTGTAGGTATTTTAGTTTCTAAGGTCCCTAGTGTAGTGAGAATGCCTAGCTAAGAGTGGGAGTCTTATCCTCCCATGTCTGTCTTTTAATCAAGTTCTTTTGATTTTTCTACTCACTAGAGAAGATACAGTTTCTTCTTTCCTATTGCTATAGTTTAATCAGCTTTTGTAGCACTTGAAGCTGTGGACAGAAATCATTCATCTTTGTATTCTCCTATGGAAGCTATTTCAGGTCTTTGCATATTATATGTGCTGAATAAATATTTGATGAATAAATGTAGAATTTGTTTTTGAGACTTGAAATTGGCATTTTATGTTCTTTATTAGCTCCTTATTTCTACTAAATGAATAAATGTGCTATTTTAGTTGATAAAAAGATAATAGATTGTGAAAACATACTTTGCCAGTGTATATATGAATTGCCATGCAAGTTTGAAATGTAGTATAATAATGGTAATAATAATCAGTTTTCATTGTTTACTTAACCAAGTCTTCTATGTCTTAGCATATTTATGGCCTTTCCTTTACAGCACCAGGTGTCATTGAGACCATTCCCTCTTTGGTGTTGCCACATTTTCTCATTTCTTTCATAGGCTTTATTCCAGTATGGTTGGATGTTTCTTTATCTTCAGCCTTAGACTGTGAGCTCCTTGAGGGCAGGAACCCTATCTTAATCATACCTGAATCTTGATACTTATTGTAGTGCTTGCTACATAATTAATCCTCAACCCATGTTGGTGAATGATTAAAACTACATGTCAAATGGTCAAAGTGGATTATTCATGTTGCATAAATAAATAACTTGGCTTTGTGAAAAGAGATAGCTTCTAGAAAGGAAAAAGATGCTAAATTCATTTCACTTATGCATTATTAATCATATGACAATATAATGCTTTTATATGTATATGAATAGTTAATATGAAAGTATATACACATGGATATAGTGCATTTGCATAGGATTTTAAAATGACTTCAAATGGGTCTTCAGATAATTTTTGATTATATAATTGTCAGTATGACATAACTGTAAAGTTCATAATATGGCACTGAAATAAAAATTTATAAAAGCATATTAAGATAACTGGACATAGTGGTGCATGCTTATTATCCTGGTACTGAAGTTGATACAGGAAGACCAGGAATTTAAAGCCAGCCTGGACTACATACAGAATTTATATCCAATCTGTCCTACATAGTTGGATCCTGTCTCAAATTAAAGTATGCATAAAACAAAAAGAAATAAAAAGAAACATACTAAAGTATTAGAAAATTGGTGAAATAAGGCTTATCCAGGGAGTCAAAATTGCTATATTTGGTATTTCTTTAAAATAGAACCACCTGCTTGAAATGTTAGAAAAAGAAGCAAATACTAATTAACTCCTTTAGAAAAAAAATAAAGTGCGTTGTTTTACCAGTTAGTTGATGGAAGTGTGCTGACATGGTCATGAACCTGTTGATACAGATCTAAAGGTAGCCACCAGATTTAAAGTGTTTAATTTGTGGCAAGATAAAGTTGTATGCCTTAACCATTCTGTCATGGTGGTCATAACTATGGCATTAACATCAATGAACCATTTATGTAACAACTGTCCTAATTAACCAAAAGTATTCCTTAGAGACAGATTATGCAAGGTTGAATTATTTTACCTTTAGGCTTTCTGCCAGAGTATGGTTGTATTTTTTTAATGTGCACTTTGAAAATAACAAGTCTAAAAATGGAACTCTTCCTTCATGGTGAAGTAACTTAGGGTGTACTAGAAGCAAAAGATGTACCACTTGACCTCAAAACATACTTTTCTATTATTTATAAATAACTTGTATTTGATCTTCAGATGATCGTGTTTTAGTAAAGTCAACAATTTTATAGTATATTTATGCTGCCATTCTAGGGTAGTATTTCTTATGTAAGTTAAAAATAATGTGCTATATCTAGTATGTTTAGTTTCTTTAAGCAAAGGAAAGAGCTAAGGATATAGTTCAGTTGATACAATGTTGGTAGCACTCACAAAGCCTTGGGTTCATAAACCTGGGCATAGTGGCACTTGCCTGTAATTCCAACACTCAGGAGGTGGAGGCCAGAGGATCAGGAGTTCAGGCTCATCCTCGACTACATATAGAGTTCAAGGCCATCCTGGACTTCATGAGGCCCTGTCTCAGAGAGGGGGTGGGGTGGAAAGACACAGAGACAGAGAGAGACAAAGAAAAAAGAAAGAGGAAAGAAATATACTTTATTACTCAGTGGATAGAAACATAATTATAGAAACTTGTTGAATCGTTGAATGTCTGATGGGTCTATCATTGAAAAAAATATAGTTACACAGGCACATTGTTCTTCACTGGGCTGATTTTGCCCATTTCTCAAATAGTTATTAAAGCATACAAATTCTTACATAGATATGAACCATCCAGCATTATTGCAACAAAGTTTCAACATGCTGTTATTTGTTACAGGTAATCTTTGGTAAATCTAGCTGTTCAGAATTTTCAAAGGAAGCCTATACAGCCGTAGTATATCATAACAGGTACTGAATTAAAATATTTCTTTCAAAGTTACTCACTTCTCAGTGGCATTGTTAGCATTCACATTAGTGTGTTTACCAAATGCTTTGCTGCACTGTACAGCTCTTCATAGACATCTCAAATGTAAGGCTTTGTACAAAAACATCTTTTCTAGCAAATTCCACACTTCTTCCATTTTTTTCTATATTGTTATTATCATTGTGGCCTCTGATCTTTTGATCTTTCCCTGTTACTTTCCCCCTGACACGTTTTAATTTTGCTTAACTCTACTATGCTTTGAACCCATTAAAGTTGATATTCTCACCATCCAATAATCCTTTTATTTATTGACTTTTCATTTTATTTCCATAGGAAATTGCGAAACTTGGATAACCTTTTCAGCTTTTTGGGGGAAGATTATTAAATGTAATTAGAGAAAAATCACAAAATTGTACTTTTCAGGGCTATTGCAAAATGATGATACTGTATCATGTGATGGGGCCACAATCATTCACTTTATCTTCTGTTAGCCCCATTGTTCTTTTGTAGTCTTCTTGTGATCATTTGGTTATGTTTAGGTTTGCACTCTCTCCGTCATGTAACAGTAGCTGTGTGAATTTCCTTTAGCTTGTTTTTCTTTTGCATTTCTACTTTATTAGTTGATTGTGGTTATAAAACTTGAGATCTATAGTATCTTTATTCGCCACCTTCAGTTTTCTCCATGCTCATCTGTCTTTCCTTCTGTTTCAGTCGTAGCAGTGGCCCCTCTCCTTTTCACTATGAATCTTCCACATCTGCCCTTATACCATCCTACCTGGCTTCTTCCAGAACATGGGTCACTTCCCTTCTCTTGCATTGTCACAGTTGTGTTTCATGGCACCATGTGTTACTTTCAAAACAAAGCTTAAATTTTCTGTACTTAAAAGCACAAAAGTCTTTCCTCAGTGCTGTTACATGGTATGCATTTTCCTTGTCCTTAAAACTTCTTTCTCACCTTTGTCTTGCAGCCATATTTGTTTCTTTCTACTTTTAACTTTTTTTTTTCATATTGATTCCTTTTCTTTTGGGCACTTCACACAAAATACTAAAACTTGATCATAATTCTCAATCTACCCATATACTCTCTTCCTAAGTAATCTTATGTCTAAGCTGCATTCAGTGAAAATGTTTCCACTTTAATATTTATATGGAATAGTCCTGATTCATTCCCAGTCCTAACTTTTCATACACACCTATATTTTCATTGACTGACTAGACATGCCCATTTGTGTGCACTGCTGCCTTCCTGGTTTCATTTATATCTCTGACTCTGTCTCTTTCTACTTTTAATATTGGCACTATCATTTTCCCAGTTATTCTGGCTCAAAATTGAAGATGTCTTTGGTGTCCTTCTTCTGTTCTTTAGTATCTAATCAAACTTTTCAATCTTGATACTTTTCTTTCTGCTTTCTTAGCAAACATACCAATACTGTATGTTTAGTCTCCTTTCTTGGCCCTTTTATTCTACTCTGGTAGTGATTCCTTGTGTTTATTGAATTCCTCTGTATTCTTTCAGGCCCATGTCAAATATCACCTCCAAATAATCATATCCTGATCTCAAACTTGATAGAATCTGTTTAACTTTGTTCTTAAAATGCTTAACCTTATATGCTCTACATCAGGGGTTGGCAAGCATTTCCTCCAAGACTAGAGAGTACGTTTTTGGCCTGTGGCCATATCCCCTGATTGTAGCTACTTGCTGCTGCTGCTACAGCATGAAAGGAGCCATGCATAGAAGTACAATTACAGTAAATTACTGTGACTTTTTTCCATTGAAACTTTAGTATGGATACCAAATTTGAATTTCATATAATTTTCACATCAAGAGATATATTATTCATTTGATTTTTAAAACTCTTTAAAAATGTACAACCTATTTCATAATTTACAGACTGTATAAAACCAGGTAGTGAACTGGATTTGGCCTGGGAACCTAATTTGTGAACCCCTGTTTTACAGCATACCTATTATTGATATCTGTGTGTCTTATTTATGGTCCTACTAAATCACACAATTTTGAGGGTAATTTTTTTTTCTTACATTTCTTTAAAACTACCACAAAAGTAAAACAGTGTTTAGCCTAAATATGGGCAATTAAATGTACATGTGGAACCAGTTATTCCCACGGATTATTACAATGTGATTTCAGGAAGAAATGAACCTAAAATACTGCATACCAGGAAAGATACTACTTAAAAATATATAGCAATTTTTAAAAGTTTCCCAGTGTGGCTAGGTCATTATTATTTGCTCTAAGAATTAGTGAAATTAAAATGACAATACTGTCTGACATTGCTGGTACATTCAGCCTTTGCATAATTCAGTGATGATTCGTGATCTTAAGATACATACCTTTTTAAAACATTTAATCAAAGTCATCACATTCTCAGATAGCTAGCATTAGCTCTCTTTCTTATTATTATTTAAGGCCTAGTTCCACTTAATGTTTCTGTGATCAGATCCACGCCTGTTAATGTGTTTTTGAGGCTTATTCGAAAAGGAAGAATTATTGACTGATTAGCGTCTAAGAAAAAACTCTAATTGGCAGGACAGTCTTCACTTTAAAGGTAATTGGAACCATATGGTTTAGTTGAATTTCTGTTGAATGTAATTCTGAGAGATGCTGAGAGTGGGGGATTAGATGCCAAGGGTCTGTCCTTTTAAGTGTGCGCCTTGCATAACAGCCATGCTTTTTTATAACAGTGCCCCTTGAGACTACTAAATGCATACTGAGATAAAGCATCATGACTCATCAAACATGACATTCTTATAGTATTTAGGATCACTTCTAAACTGTTTGATAACTGCAGTTTGTGGGATTGCCCTGATTTTAACTTTTTTTGTTTTCCTGTGTCAATAATAGTTCATGTTTTGCTAACATTATTTATTAACAGTGGAAGAATTGATATGACATTCCACACAGAGCCCCACTTAATACTAAAATATCTTTAGAAATACTTTCTTTTTAAAAAGAATGATTGTACTCCTACAAAAGAAAAATGATATGATATGGCTTTAAAATATGTACTTTTTAAGTACATGATTTTTTTTTTCTGTGCAGAGTATGCCAGATTTGGTTCATAAATGTAGAAAGCCCTACTCTTTCTTATGTATAGATTCCAATGTACTGAATATCCCAGTATCTAGGTGATAATTATTAATGAATTTTCCAAATAGCATTGTTCATTTCCTTAATAAAAAAGAAATACAATGAGAAATTTCAGAAATGGTGTTAGCTCCCTAATCTGGAAGTAACACTTTATTATTTAAAGATTGAGAATGAAGAAAAAATATTCTGAACTAGAGGAAAAATAAAGCATAAGTCCCAAAATTAATTTTAAGATCATTCAGACATACAAATGCAACAGTTATTCATTTTGAACAAATTACTGATTATTGATTTTTGTTTGTTTGTTTGTCTGAAGGTCTCCTGATTTTCACGAGGAAATCAAGGTTAAACTCCCTGCTACTTTGACTGACCACCATCACTTGCTTTTTACTTTTTATCATGTTAGCTGTCAACAGAAACAAAATACTCCTCTTGAAACCCCAGTTGGATATACAGTAAGTCTTTTTGTTAATTATTTATCTCAAATATTTATTTTAACATATCTTAAATCTCTTAAGATAACTATAATATTTAGGGTATGGTAGATGTTTCATGTTTTTCTTTTATATTTTATTTATTATTTTTATTTTATGTGTATGAGTGTATTGCCAGCATTTAGGTAAGTGCACCCATGTCATGCAATGCCAGTGGAGGACAGAAGAGGCCGTTAGATCCCCTGGAACTGGAGTTACAGACAATTGTTAGCTGCCATGTGGGTGCTGGGATTCAAACCTGGGTCTTCTGCAAGAACAACCAGTGTTCTTAACTGCTGAGCCATCTCTCCAGCCCCGATGTTTCTTGTTTTTATTATTGCTTATTTGATTCTCTATAATTAAAAAATTGCATTAGAGCCAGCCATGATGGTGCATACCTTTAATCCCAGCACTCAGGAGGCAGTTCTCTGTGAGATTTGAGGCCAGCCTGATCTACATAGTTAGTTCCAAACCAACTAGAACACAGGGAGTCTGTGTCTCAAAACAAAACAAAACAAATAAAAATTGCATTGGTAAGGAAGAGTTTTCATAACAAGAAAATGCTCATTAATGTAAAAAGCTAATTAATTAATTAATTACATAAGCACTTAGGTATTGGTCCTCATTATTGTGTGATTACCCCACAGCAAAGTATATTTTAATGGGAGAATAATTTGAATGTAAGACAAAAAAAGAAGCCCTTAGAAGAGAAATTAAAACCTTTGGATATTTTTCACAAGTCGTTATGATTGACTTGCCAAGGTTAAACTAAAAAGTCCATCATAATGTTCTATCACACAGTTTTGTTACAAAAATTATTCTTAAAATTGAACTTTCAAAGTTGATTCAGTATTTTTGTCTTTTGCATTTGTGATATGAATTTTGTTAACTGTAAAAAAATTATATCCATGCTTTTTAATTTTGTTTTCAGCACTCAAATTTTAACTATTTACTTTGAAACTGTTGTTTTTAAATTGGTTCATTTTGTGGCCTTTTCTAAAACTGATTCTTCTTTAGACAACAGGGACCACATATTAAATATTGCATGGTCATAACAGTAATATTGAGGGGATCTTCATTATTAAAATAAATATTAGGGAATTGTCTCCTTAGAACTATGCTGAAGGCCCATTGTTATTTATATAATTCAAATGCCTAATGTTTATTGATAAGAACCAGATTTGGGTTATATCAAGTTCTTAAAACAGACTGTTGAAATAATTATTTCTGTAACAAGCACATACTTAAATTAGTTTCCTTTTCATTTAAAAGTGGATACCAATGCTTCAGAATGGACGGTTGAAGACTGGACAGTTTTGCCTACCTGTCTCACTGGAAAAACCACCACAGGCTTATTCTGTGCTCTCTCCAGAGGTCAGTGCCTTTTACCATTTTTAGTTCTCCAGACTGAGTGAAATAATAAAATTAAATATAAAGATATTTTTACTGCTCATCTTCCTCTGCTTTGCTGGGTTGCACAACCTGTCAGACTCTTTCTTGGACACCGGGGCTGACCTCTAGGCCCGGAAACTGCTTCCTGATCCCTTGAATCCACACAAACCCAGTTCCTTTTTGCAGTCCCCAGGAGCGCTCTGGGCCTGGTCCCCGCCCTTACCTCCCTCTGTTTCTCTGGGCCTGCACAACACGCCAGCCTCTCTCCTGGCCCCCAGGAGCCCTTGGGGCCTCTCCCTGCCCCCATCTCCCTTTGCATCTCCGGGGTGGCATGGCCACCAGCTGCCCGAGACCAGCATCTTTCCTGGACCCTATTGCCAGACCAGTCCAACCCCCAAATTCCTGAGGACAACATCTTTCCTGGAGGGATCCAGACCTTAGGAGAAAGCCTGAGAGCATCTGATCCTCATCTGACTTGGGCCTCTGTGGGAACTCCTGAAGACAAAAGCAATATGGCCACTCCAGTATGAAATGAGGGAACAGGAAGCTTAGACAAACCAACTTTTCATGCCCAAAAAGTAAACGACAAAGGCACATAAAGTTTACAAAAAGCAGCAAACCTAAACTTGAAGGCTTCAGTCTCACACACAAATCAGAAACTACAAAAGAAATTCAAATGTCAAAATCACAGAGAAAATATAATAACATGAAAAACAAAAATAACAAATTCCCACCAAATATCAATAGTCCTCTAGAGGAGTACAAGGAGAACCCCCTAGAGATAATGCAGGACATGGAACTCAAAAGAACAATTATAAAGATGATAAAAGATTTCAGTGAATTTAAAGAACACAAAAACAAAGAAATCAAAGAACTGATGCAAGATAAGGATAAACTTCTGAATGAATTCAAAAAAGAGTTAGAAATATTGAAGAATACTCAGGCAGAAATAAAGAAGGAAGTGCAAAATTCAATAAGCCAACTTGAAACAACAGGAGAAAGCCTCACCAATAGGATGAATGAAATGGAAAAACAGAGTTAAAATAAAAACACAGGAATGGAATATGCAAGAGATGTGGGACACCATCTCTTCTGAGAAGACCAAATCTATGTATCATAGGCATAGAGGAAGGAGAAGAATTTCAGGTTAATAATATTGACCAGATCTTAAACAAGATTGTAGAAGAGAATTTCAAGAAATTAAGGAAAGACACCTTCATACAAATACAGGAAGCACACAGAACACCAAACAGACAGGACCAGAACAGAAGGTCTCCACAGCACATCATAGTAAAAACACTAAACGTACAGAACAAAGAGACAATACTGAAAGCTGCAAAAGAAAAACAACAAGTCACATATAAAATAAAACACATTAAGATTACAGCTGACTTTTCAGTGCAAACTCTGAAAGCCAGAAGAGCCTGGACCAAAGTATTCCCAGTTTTAAATGATCACAGATGCCAACCTAGATTACTATACCTGCCAAAATGTCTATTATAGTCGAAGAGGAAAGAGAAGTCTTCCATGACATAAACAGGCTGAAGGAATTCATGTCCACAAAACCAGCCCTTCAGAGAGTTTTGGAAGCAATAGAGCTGAAGAAAGAATGACTATACCCAAGGGGTTGCGGAAAGAAATTCAATGAAGGTATAACTGTGGAAAAGTACAGCTATATGAAGAATGTAAACAGAAATAAAAATGACAGGACTCAATACACATCTTTCATTAATAACTTCAAATATTAACGGACTGGGCTCCCCAATCAAAAGACAAAGACTAGGCCAGGAGTGGTGGCGCACGCCTTTAATCCCAGCACTCAGGAGGCAGAGGCAGGCAGATCTCTGTGAGTTCAAGGCCAGCCTGGTCTATAAAGTGAGTTCCAGGTCAGCTGGGGCTACAGAGAGACCCTGTCTCAAAAAGACCCCTGCCCCCCCCCCCAAAAAAACCCTAAGACACAGACTAGGTGAATGGATTAAGAAACAAAACCCATCTTTTTGTTGTCTGCAAGAAACTCATCTCACTTTCAAGGATAGGCACTATCTTAAGATGAAAGGATGGAAAAAAAATATATCAAGCAAATGGTACTAAGAAAAAGCAGGCGTTGCAATTCTAATACCTGACAAAATAGACTTTAAACCAAAAATACCAAGAAGACATTACGATCTTGAACATATATCCACCAAACTCTTCTTCACTCAACTTCATAAAAACAATACTACAGGACTTTAAGACCTAGAATAATCCCAACTCATTAATAGTAGGGGACTTCAATACCCCACTGTCTCCATTAGATAGGTCAACAGGGCAGAGAGTTAACAGGGAGACACCTGAATTAAACAATAGTGTGTATCAAATGGACCTAAGAGACATCTACCAAGTATTCCACCCAAGTACCAAAGGACATATTTTCTATTCAGCACCCCATGGAACCTTCTCCAAAATTGACCATATACTGGGGAACAAAACAAACCTCAACAAAAACAAAAAGATTGAAATAATTTCATGCATTCTATCAGACCACAAAACAGTAAAGCTTACAATCAACACCAGAAGAAGCCCTAGTCACCACATGAACACATGGA